CTCCCGGGCCCGCCTCCGCCGCAGCAGCTCCGCCTCCCGGCGCTTCACCTGCAGCCCGATCGAGCGCAGCTGGAAGACCTCCTGGCGCCGGAGCCGCGCCGCCTTCTCGCTCAGCTCCCGGGCTCTCTGGGGGTGCAGAAACAGAAAGTGAGGAGGCGGCCCGGTGGAGAACGGCCTCTTCCCTCCCCTGGGTCGACGTCTCCTCCTTCCCCTCCCCAGCAGTGGTGCCCTTTGCAGGTCAAGGCGAGCCCTTTGCCGGTCAGAGCGACTCCCTTCCCCTCTCCCACCAGGAAGAGATCGCCGGATGTCTCATCAGCGAAGTGGTTTGGGAGCTGGCCTTCCCCCCATCCCTTGCTTCTGCATGGCTCAGGCAGGGAGCAGATGGCTGGCGCCCGGCTCGGCCAGATGGCCGCCTGTTTGAGAGCTACAGCAGCATCGGTGGAAGGGGAGAGGAGGGGGATCGACGAGCTCACTTTGGCCGGTGGCCCGGGAGGCTGCCCCAACCGCTGCGGCTGCTTCTGAAGGGCAGCTCGGAGAGCGGTTGCCAGGGCCGGGGCCAAGGGGCCTGTGCGGGATGAGCCACGGGCACGATTCGTAAAAGGCGATGCGTTTGTTAGGCGACCGCGAACACCTCTTTCTCTGGGCTAATTTTTATACATTCACTGGAAACGGAAATCCACCACAAGGGAGGGGACCGAGAAACCCCTCTGTGATACGACAAGTACAAATTATGCTAATTCAACATGTCTGCCTGTTCTCACGCTCTGTATAATTTAGTCCCGTTACACTAGGAGCAATGCAGGGCGCAGAGAACCCCGCCGTCCACCAGCCACTGGGAACCTCGCCGGACTGCCTCTCCGGCTGCTAAGATTTCAACAGGAATTGCCAGCATGAACACACATGTGACTGCCTTATAACGAATCAGACCCTTGGGCCCATCAAGGTCAGCATCGCCCACTCAGACAGGCTGAGGCCTTTCACGTCACCTCGTGCCCGGTCTGGAGAGGCCGGGGATGTACTTCTTCACCGTCAGAGTGGTTCAAAGGCGGAAACAGCTGCCTAAGGAGGTGGTGAGCTCCCCTTCACTGGCAGCTTTCAAGAAGAGGCTGGACGGATATTTGTCAGAGATGCTTTAGGCTGGTCCTGCACTGGGCAGGGGGTTGGACTAGATGGCCTGTATGCAGGGGTCATTTCCTGCAGGAGCGCACAGGAGCGCAGCTCCGGCAGTAAAGAGTCCAGGGGGCGGGCACATGCAACAAGCCCCACCCCCTGCTCCCAGCAGCCCTCAGTCAGAGCAAGAAGCAGCCAGGTAAGTTGCAGAGCCCCCCGCTGCCCCCCTGGTCCAAAACAGTCCAGTGGCACCTTTAAGGCCACGTTTTATTCAGGTACAAGCTCTCCCTCCTCTGTGAGGGCAGATCTGCATGTCCCCCCCCCCAATAAGCTAGCAATCCAAAACAGTTCAGTGGCGTCTGAGTGGTGGGTGTTGCCTTCTGACACACGTCCGGTGATGTCAGGGTGTGTGGCATATGCAAATGAGCTATGCAAATGAGCTCATGCACCCCCTTTTCTATGAAATGACCCGTGCCTGTATGGCCCTTTCCAACTCTATGATATGGAGGGCCAGCAACAGGGCAGAGAACATTTTAAGAGCCCTGCTGGATTCAGACCAGTGAGGGTCCATCTAGTCCAGCCTCCCGTCTCACACAGGGGCCAGCCAGTTCCTCTTCAGGGCCAACAACAGGGCAGGGAGACCGAGGCCTTCCCCTGAGGCTGCCTCCTGGGCTCTGGGATGCAGAGGTTGACTGCCTCTGAATGTGGAGATTCCCTTCAGTCACCAGGACTAGTAGCAAGGCGGAAGGAATTTGTGGGACCGTCAGAAGCTTGCGAGAGACACCAGTGAAGACGCAGCCCTGCGGCATTCTGGGAATGTCTGGAGCCCCACGACAGGAGCCGGGGGCATGTCAGGCTGGGGGATTTCTGCCCGGGGGCCTCAGCTCCCCAGACCTTGCCTGCTCGGCGGGCCCAGGGAGTCCCCAGGTGACCTCCACATTCCCAGCGTGAATGGCTGGAAATACTCCGAGCGCAAGGATGGGTCTCATCACGGGCCCCCGGGAAGGGTTCGGGAGCAACCGGCACCCCTGGGCCGTCCCTTGCTAGCTCCTGGGGGGGGGGGTCCTCCCTCCCCCACCGGTGCACCCGTCCACAGCACCGCCACTACCCTTCTGTCTGCAGGCTTTCCGGGCGGCGGGAAGCCCAAGCCACGTGGCGCCCCCCGGGGGAAGAGCAGAGAGGGCCTTTCGAAAGGGAGAGCGGCAGCCGGCCAGGCTACAAACGCAGGGCAGGGGTCACCGGAAGAAGGGAAACAAAAGGGAAGGAGGGCAGAGCAGGCAGGCCACCGACAGCGGGGCAGGAGAGAGAAAGGCAGCCACCCGGCCTTGGCACAGATCAACGTCCTGGGGAGAGGGGGCATCGCTCACCTTCAGCGTCCTCAAGGACTCCGCCAGTTCCGTGCTCAGCTGCAAGTCCAGATCCGGGTCTTGGTACCTGCGACGGAGGAGGAACAGGGAGGGGGCCTGCTCAGGAACAGGCCACGTGCAACACCCGCCCCCTCTGCTTCCCCCAGGTGTCGCTCCGCCTCCGCCTCCCCCGCCTCC